CTCAGTGGGGCTGCTGTTCCAAAGGACATGCTGTGAGTTAGCAGCGTGGGCACCTTTCCTTCCCCTGAAACAGGGGATGTTTGTCAGCTTCCTCACCACTTTGGGTAGTCCTTGAAGCCTTCCTGAGCACAGCCAGGGGAAGGAAGCTGTGAGTGCCAGGAGTGGATGATCTCTTGAGGCAGAGCTGTGGGGGAGCAGCCACCGCAGGGCTTTTTGCCTGGAAGTCCCCATGGGGAAGAGGGTTGTGCTGCATGTGCTTATTTTGGGCGTGTAGGACAGAGGGTGCTTCTGCTTTCGCCGTCTTTATCTTCAGCTCACAGAACTGAGCTTGTTTTCCTTTCACAACCCGGGGGTGACTTTTTTCCTGTTTCCTTTTACATAATGTCATACACTCGGGTTTGCATAAAAGGTCCCAAAGTCACTGCTGTTCCTTGCAGGGGTTCAGGGTTTGCTCCCGAGGCTGAAATGAAAGTTGGTGTCAGCCACGAGGAACACGGGCTGTGCTGGAGCCACTTTCTTTCGTTTCTGGGAAGGCCCATTTCCTGCTGCTAGTGGGAAGGGATTATGCTGAGAAGGGGTTGGGGATTGTAAAGAAAAGCAAACTCACACTTGCTGTTTCTGGCTTTACCACCTTTCATCGAGTTCTCTTGCGCTTGTGCAAGTGTGGAGCTTCAATGGGAAACCCCTGGTGATGTCTCTGAGGCTCACCTCTGCCTTTTCTTGTCTCATTATCCATGGGAGTGTTAATTCCCAACAGACACACATTCCTGGCTTCCCATGGGCAGGGGGAAGCTTGCAGCTGGTAGCAGCAGCCCTTTGAAATCATGGTGCAGAAATACTCTCGGTGCTGCTCTGTACCTGTGTGTAGAACAGGCATTTTGTGTAACTCAACTGAAAAGAGAGCAGAGTAACACAAATATCTTGATTGTTAAACCAGCTGTGGTCCAGAGAGCATCAGCAAAAGCACTTTAAGCAGTTGTGCCTCCTCCACGTGTGCTGAAATTAATACCTTTTTCCACTAACAGTTCATTATTTTCTTGCCTTTGGAGGCCAGTGTGCTAACCCGGGGCACGTGGGACCAGAGCTCTTAAGACCTGGTAATTGTTGGGTAATTGTCTGTGTGTAAGTGTGGGGATGCTGCCATGCTCACACTTAATCCTGCACTTTGCTCCTGTCTTACCAAAACCACCTTTGTGACTGAGTTTAAACCCTTTCCAAAATGCAGAGCCCCAGCCAATGTTTTGCTTTGCTGTTTGGCTTTTTCATTTTCCCCTCCTTTCATCTGCTGGGAAGAGCTGAAGGCAGAGTCCCTGCTGCTGCTCTCAGGGTCCCTCACACCCTTCCTCCAGGCTCACGAACCTTGGCTGCATCTTAGAGCTCCTTATTAATCCTCTGTGTGAAGACGTGGGGTTTGACACCACGCCAAGTACAAGAACATTCACCAGAGAGCTGCAGAGTTTACTGCATGGAGCAGAAATTCCTCCCTGGTGTAGTCACAAAAGCTTTGAACCATCAGTGGGAGCTTCAGGGCTGGCTGCCATTGGAAGAGGCAGTCCCCAGGCCCAGGGCAGCCATCTGGTGCAGACCTCCCGTTTCATATTTCAGGGGATGAACTCCTGCAGAGTTCACTCACGGCTGCTTCTGCAAAAGCCTCTGCTCTGCACAACTGGGGAGAGTTAAACATGTGGCTTTTCCCTGTGTCCCTCCAGCCAGAGGCCCTTTTCCTGACGTGCGGAGAGGGCCAGGATTGCACACTGAGCTGGAGAAATCAAACCAAACCTTCATTTCTCTGTGTTTTCCCTTTTCTTGGTGCCCGTCTCGAAATGTGTTGGATCTCACTTTCTGGGCTGCTGGGTCCCGCCTGCATGAGTTTGGTGGAAGGTGCAGATGCCGTAACCATCAAATCTTGTTGCAGATATTTAAAGCACTGCCTGGGCCTGTTGGATTCTTCCCTTATGCCAACAGAAGGGGCTGTTCACCTGTGTCTCAGCCTCAGGATGAGGTGGAGGAGGGTCTGTGTGCTGGCTGAGCCTGACTCATGTTTCCTTCTTCGGAAGGGCAGAAAATTCCAGCAGATGTGCAGGGCAGGCAGTGGGGAGCAGTGTCTGTTGCAATATTTACCAGCACTCATCTGTCTCTTCAGAGACCATTTTGAAGGCATTCAGCTTTGTTTGGACTCGCGTGGAAATCCTGGTGTGAGTGCAGGATTCTGGGTGGCCAGCACAAACATAAGCCACAGGTCAAGGTTTTGAGTCTCTCCCTGCCCTGCTCCCACTTCATCTCATCTGGGAGGGGAGAAACGTGTGCTTGGTGCAGATGTTGGAGTGAGACTCCTCTGGCTCCATCCTGCTGCCGCTCTTTTGCTTGGTTGGTTTTTAACCAACACGCGCAGAATGCACAATCAGCATCTCGAAGGAGAAGCCGTAGGAAAGAGGAAGCTCACACAGAATATAAATAGCCAAATTTTAGAATGTCCCAGTGTAGCAGCTCGCCTGGCTCTTGGCAGGAGCCTGCAGACCGCTGGGAAGCCGCGGCCTTCGTGTGTGGCTTGCAAAGGGGGAACTTTGGGGGATATCGCACGAGTCAGCAAGGAAAAAAATGAATTAATCTGACAGTCTTGGATACGGGAAGGAAATGAAATTTGCTTTTATGCACATCAGAATGGGGGTGTATCCCCTGCACGTGACATGAAATGCAGAGTGAAAACTCTGCAGAGTTGTGGCAATACTTTCCACTGTAGTTGCACAGCAGCTGCCAGTGATTCATGGGTTGATCCTGAGGTGGTTTTTTCCTCCCATATGATTTAATTTATGAATTTAATTGCATGTCAGCAAGCATCTGATTTTTCTTGATATTTTTGTCTGGGGTTTACAACTGCCCAGCCAAATCTCTTTTCTGTGTTAGACTGTACAGGGCTCTGGTCCTGCTGGACCCAGAGCTTTCCTCTTAGCTTAAATGGGAGGTACACAGGGGTAGGGGCTGACATGCAGGTTGGGTGATAAAGGCTGGGAAAGAGCCCAAGACAAATTGGGAAGCATTTCCATGGCTTGCTTTTTTTTGGTTTTTTTGATTGTTTTGTTTTTGTTTGTTTGGGTTTTTGTTTTGTGTTTGTTTTTTTGTTTTGTTTTGTGTTTTGTTTTGGAAACAGCATTTAAAGGTGGAAGAAAGACAACTTGGCCAACTTGGTTAGGTGGTGTCAGTGTAGATGGTTGATCCAGAGTGGACACAAAGCTTTAGCTGTGCTGGCAGCCCTCTCCCAAGGTTGTGCCTTGTGCCATAATTTATCCCAGAGCACAGAACAAGAGAGGGACAAGATGCAGGTGCCAGGAAGGACATTTGGTGTCTGCTGCCTCGTGCAGGTGCTCTCAGGGTTGGTCTGGAAGCCAGTGAACCCTGGGAAAGGCTCCTGATGTTCACAGCAGAGCCTCACAACTCCTTGAACTTCAGCAAACCAAACCTCTCCGTAGTCTGGCATGAAGTGAGAAAAGCAGGTTCAGCAAAAAGTGAAAAAGTCAGTAACCCTGCCCAGGGGGATTCTTTGCCCTCATTCATTACAACCATGAATGAGAGGCTTTTTCCAAGCTTCCTCTCAGTCTTTGAGCTGGCTGTGCTTCCCTGCCTTGATTCCTTGTGATTAACAAGCCCATGGCTTGAGCAGTGGTAACAGCAGTGACCACTGTGGTGGTGCTGAGAGAGGGTGGTCAAAGAGCTTTGGGGTGCACGTTGGATCCGTCAGCTCAGGGTTGTGTGGTCGTGTTCTGCTCCTGTTCCTGAGCCTGGGGCCCTCGGTGTGGCTGTCCCCATGTTCACGGGGGGCAGTTTGGAGGAGGATTTTTTGCAGGGAGCAGCATTCACTTCATCCATCCTAAGCCTTTTCATGGCACTTTCTTGCTCAGTGAGCGCTGTGTTGTTGTCGGTGCTCAGGGCTCTTTGAGGGGCAGTGGCAGGGAAAGCTGTGGGTTGTCTCTGGCAGGAGAGGTTTGTCCCCACAGCCCTGTGTCCCAGTGATGGTCACTTCCCCCTCTAACCAGCTGACTGCTTTCAGGCATTTTCTCCATCTGCTGAGCTGTGGGTTTTGGTGTGTGTGTGTGTGTTCATCCATGTCCTGCCATTTGGTGAGGGGGATGGAGGGTGGGGGAGATCCCTGCAGTGTTTAAAAGGATCTGGATGAATCTTCTTAAGGGAGGCACTGACTCAGCAGAGCATGGTTAGAGAGGAGGAGGGAAGAACCCAAACTGTCCTTGTGGGGCTGGAGCTGCTGCTGAGCCCGTGCTGGCATGTGGTGCTGTGGGAGGCGTGTGCCTGCAGACCTGCCCTGAGAAGCATCACCCCTTTCCTCACCAAATTTTGGGTGCTCTCCATCCTCCAAACCAGAAATGGGAGCCTCTTATCTGCATGCCGTCACCCAGAGGTACCTGAACCCTCTGCCCAGACCAGTCCTGGCTGTGCCTGGCCCCACCCTGGTGCAGATCTCTGGGATTTCTGCCTCGTGCCTTGGCCAGCGCTGCCAGAGCTGGTGGGCAGCTCGGTTTGACTGTGATTATTTCTCAGGGAAGTGCACCTGGTTCCTGCAGGGACAGATCACTGAGACTCTGCTCAGACCAGGAGCCAGTGTCACCTCATGGGAAAGGCAGAGGCTTGGCAAGGGAAGCAGGCAGGGCTGGGCACTGGGCTGTGCTGTCACTGTCTCTCTCCCTGCCTTGTGACGTGTCCCACCTTGCACTGGCACAGCCTGGCTTTGCTGAAGGGCTGAGACATGGAGCCAGGGGACGTGGCACAGACCAAGAGTAGCTTCCCAAAGTCCTGGCTCCACTGTGGGCAGGCTCAGCTGGCCAGACACACTGGTGTCACCTGGTTTTGCATTTCTGAGTAGATGAGAGAGACTCACTGCCAGCCAGCTGCTGCCTTTGGCTTGCTGGGATCCCTAGTAGGAGCCACAAAATCATCTGTGCCATGCTTTGCTGTCCTTATCTCATGGTGTATCTTGTCTTTCCATGCAGAGCTCCACACAGGAGATCGGAGAAGAGCTGGAGGATGGTGTGATCTACAGCATATCCCTCCGGAAAGTGCAGCTCCATCACACGGCAAACAAAGGGCAGCGCTGGCTGGGGGTAAGCTGGGGGCTCCTCCTGCCACAGGGGAGGGTTCAGATGTTTCCCTGCCGTGGGAATCATGCATTTATTTGGGAGCAGGGAGTGGGAGCACCTGTTGGCTTCTGCTGCCAAGGTGCACAGGTGAAACAATCTGCAGCCTCATTCTGAAAAACAGGGCCACTCCGATTTGTATCTAGGTTTTGGCAACCCTGAGGCCTTTCCTGGGATTTCCCACATGTTCAGGTCTTCTCAGCTGGGTTGCTGGTGTTTGCTGTCTGAGGAGACTCAGCTCCCAGTTAGGAGAGCCTCAGGCACTGTGGGGATCGCAGCCTAGACCTGAGCTTGTGAAGCTGCTGGGAGCACTTTGCTCTTGTTGGTGTCTGTCTTCACCCAGCCCACTGACTTCTGCTCCTGTCCTGGCAGTTCGAGAATGAGTCGGCCTTAAACCTCTACGAGACGTGTAAGGTGCGGACGATAAAAGCCGGGACCTTGGAGAAGCTGGTGGAGTACCTGGTATCAGCCTTCAAGGGCAATGATTCCACCTATGTCACCATCTTCCTGTGCACCTACCGGGCCTTCGCCACCACCAAGCAAGTGCTGGACCTGCTGCTTAACAGGTGAGGCTGCCCTGAGCCCCAGGCACAGCTGGGGGTGGCCAGGAGAGCCCCAGCATCTTCTGCTGCAGTGCCTTGGGAGGTTTGGTGGCTTTTCCCAGCTCCATCAGCATGAAGGTTTCGGGACAGGGAGGACACAACTTCCTGGAAAGCTGTAGTGAGGTGGCCAGTGCTGGCTGCTTGCCTCTTCCTGTAACGGGGAGGTTGTGGGAGGGGAGGGGAGCAGGACACTGTGTAGCAGGTTCATCCTGACCCCTTGGCAGAGCTGGGGGTGATGTGGAGGGAGAAGAGGCTGCTCTGAGAGGCAGCTGAATGCAGGGTGCTCACTGCCTCCCCTCTGCCCCACCAGGTATGGCAAACTCCACGTGCAGGCGAACGGGGACCACGCCAGGCACACTGTGGACGAGAGGATGGAGCTGAAGAAGTAAGTGTGCCTGTGCTGTGGTGGCTCTGGTGGCAGTTCTGTGGGAGGGCTGTGTCGTCCCAGTGCTGTTCCTGGCCTTGTGGGCATGCACACAGGTTTCTCCTGGCATTGATTTTCTTTGCCCCTTTGTGTTTTCCCCCTTCCTGCAGCACCATCTCCTCCATCCTGGGGGCCTGGCTGGACCAGTACTCGGAGGATTTCCGCAAGCCCCCCGACTTCGCCTGCCTCAAGCAGCTCATCTCCTACGTGCGCCACAACATCCCTGGCTCTGACCTGGAGCGCCGAGCCCGCATCCTGCTGGCCCAGTTCCAGCAGCAAGAGCAGAACGAGGCCGAGGCAGAAGGTGGGGTCCTCCCCTGGCTTGTAGGGGTCATTTGGGGCTGCAGGTGGAGGGAATTGCTGCTGGTTGGAATCAAGGGTCTCCAAAACTTGAGCTGTGTGGCAGAACACCCATGAACTCTGTTTACATGAAGGTACTCTGGGAAGCCAATCCAACTGCAGCAGGAGTGGGGTTTCTAAATAGATTAGCTAATCTAACTTTAATCCTCTGTAGACACTTGCACCCAGGTTTCAAATGACTGTCCTTTTACCTGAGCCTTCTTGCTGGAGGTGTCAAGCCAGATGGGAGTTAAGAGCCCAGGAGGTGTCTGCAGGGGGCTGGTGGGAGGTGGTGTGGGCACTGCAGTGCTCAGCCTCACCCTTGTCTCATGCAGCTGTAGACCATAGCAGCTGCACCTTCCAGCTGGTGGAAGAGAATGGAGTTGGGGATGGGAAGCCAGATTTCCTCTCCTTCTCCCCAGAGATGGTTGCAGAGCAGTTCACACTGATGGATGCTGTGAGTAGTCACCCACCAGCTGGGTCAGTGGTGCTCTGGGCACAGCCCTGGCGCTTCCCATCCCTTTTTCCTCCTTGGCCTGTTCTCTCCCCAGAGAACACAAAGAAGCCCATCTCCATCCCTTTATCTTACAGGAGTTGTTCAAGAAAGTGGTGCCTTACCACTGCCTGGGCTGCATCTGGTCCCAGAGGGACAAGAAGGGCAAAGAACACCTGGCCCCCACCATCCGTGCCACGGTCTCCCAGTTCAACAGTGTGGCCAACTGTGTCATCGCCACCTGTCTCGGGGACAGGTCCCTGAAGCCACAGCAGAGGGCCAAGGTGGTGGAGCACTGGATTGAAGTGGCTCGGGTAGGAGAGCTTACCTCCTACCTCCACCCAAGGGATGAGCTTTTGCTGTGCTGGAATACCAGATCCTTCAGCTCTTTTTAACCCAAACCCTGTTATCTCCCTGTCTGCCCTCAGGAGTGCCGCATCCTGAAGAACTTTTCCTCCCTCCGAGCCATCCTCTCGGCCCTGCAGTGCAACGCTGTGCACCGGCTGAAGAAAACCTGGGATGAGGTCCTGCGGTAAGGAGCTCCTGCAGGGCTGGTTCCAGGGGGAAGAATGTGCTGTGGCCCTTGAATGTGTAAATGGGATCACCTCAGCTCCAGAATTACCTCCTGGAGTTGCCCAAAACTCCGGGACCGGTGTAAGGCATCAGGGACCTATGGAGGGTGAGAAAGTAAAAGCTAAAAGCATCATCAGCTCACCCTTCCATAGGAAACACCTTGGAATAGCTCCAAAACAGCAAGGTCCAGCTGGAGCTGAGCATAACTGGGGTCATTTGGGCAGCAGAAGAGAGCCCAAGGGGGAAACCCCACCATGGCAGCATTGCTGACTTTTCCTCGTTTCCCCCTGCGCAGGGAGAGCTTCCGCACATTTCACGAGCTCTCAGGGATCTTCTCGGATGAGAACAACCACTCACTGAGCCGGGAGCTCCTCATCAAGGTAGGGGGAAGGAGGACCTGCACTGCCCTGTTCCTGGCAGGCAGCTCAGGTTTCCATGGTGTTCCAGTCACAGGGATAAAGCCCTGGCAGAGCTGATGGAGTTGCAGGCAGGGTGTGCTGAGTCTGGGGAGCAGGTAGGGCTTTCATACCAAGGCTGGGATTTCAGTTTCTTCACCCAAAACTTATTACCTGGAACTGGCAAAACAATTTAGGGAACAGATAAGCACTGGGATGGGATCCAAAACACCAGGTGACAACTTCTCCCCAGAGGCAGCTGCACGTTAACAATCCAGTGCAAAGTCCTCTTGATTCCAGGTGGAGTGATGGAGTTGGTGAAAGGCTGCAGCAAAAATGTTTTTATTCCATGTGGAGCTTCTCCACAGATCCCAGCCTAGCTCTGGTTAAGGGACTGAGTGGAAACAAAATGCAAAAGGGAACAAAACATCCCATTAAGGAGGCATCTATACAGAAATGAGAGCAAGCAGTTCCTATTCACTAAGGTTCTTTTCTCTGAGCCATGAAAAAGCTTTGATTTTCTCCTCTTTCCTACAATGAAAGTTATATAAATGAGAATGGGTGTTAATTTTAGTTAATAGGTATTACTGCCATTTCCCACCTGTGCTGATCCCACCTCTCCCCACCATCCAGGAGGGCACATCCAAATTTGCCACCTTGGAGATCAACCCAAAGAGGGCTCAGAAGCGGCAGCAGCAGCAGCGAGAGATGGTGAGTCTGGCAGGGCTGTCCCTGTGCCCTGTCCCCAGTAGCTGCCCAGGCTGGTCCCAGCTCTGCTGACCCCACTGTCCCTTCTGTCCCCACAGGGCGTGATGCAGGGCACCATTCCCTACCTTGGCACATTCCTCACAGACCTGGTGATGCTGGACACGGCCATGAAGGATTTCCTGGATGTATGTAGTCCCTCCCTGTCCTCCCCTTCCTCCCAGAGCCTGAGCTGATAAAAGCTGGTCCCACACATGTCCTGTATCCCACACTGCACATCCTGTATCCCACACCACATCCCATATCCCACACTGCCCATCCACCTCTGTCCCAAGGAAATGGGCTACTTTTTCTCAGCAGGGTTACTCACACTGCAGTAGCAGCAAGACAGAGACAGACAGGTGTGGGAGCAATATTCTTCTTCCTGCTCCATACTGACCTTCATCTCTTTTTTTTTCCAGAGTGGGCTGATAAACTTTGAGAAGAGAAGGAAGGTGAGAGCTTTGCCCTGGCAGCTGCACAGCAGGGCTGACCTGGTGTAATCCCAGGCTGTGCCAGTCACTTTGGGCTTGATCCCTCTCCTTTTTTAACCTTGTGTTCTTCAGTTTTGGGGGAGGGGATTCTGGTCTCACGGCTTCCATTTGCTGCAGGAGTTCGAAGTCATCGCGCAGATCAAGCTGCTCCAGTCAGCCTGCAACAACTACAGCTTCACACAGGAGGACCAGTTTGTGGAGTGGTTCCACAGCCTGGAGCGGCTCAGCGAGGCCGAGAGGTGAGTGAGAGGGGTCTGGAGCTGTGCTGGTGTCTTGGGAGGTCCCACCACTCATTTCCTCTGACAGCAGCAGCTGTGCTGTGCTCTCCTCTCTGCTCTGCCTCCCTCACACTTGGTGGAGCTAAAACCCTTTTCTTTCCCCTCCCAGCTATGGGCTGTCCTGTGAGATTGAGCCACTGTCAGAGTCAGCCAGCAACACACTGAAGGCCAAGAAAAACACCGGCATCATCAAGAGATGGAGCGAGTGAGTCCCTGGTGGGAGGTGGGGTCCAGCGTGGGGCATCTCTGGCTGGGCACTGCAGGGCACCAGGTGGGCACGGCCACTGTCCTGCCAGCCAAAAGCACGCTGCTCCCTTCTCACCTGCCCCACCTCTCTTCTGGCAGCCGGCAGCCACCAAGCACTGAGCCGTGTGCCAGCAGCAGCTCCCACTCAAAATCCTTCGACCAGCTCAAGTGTGGGCAGTACCTGTGCAGCGGGGACGCCACCGACTCGGTGAGCGTCACCTCTGCCGGCTCCAGCAGCTCCGATGTGGAGGAGATCAACATCAGCTTCATCCCAGAGTCCCCTGACTGCCAGGAGAAGAAGGTACGTGGCAGCTTGCAGGGCACAGGGGTCCCAGAGCCGGTGTGGCCATCGTGTGGGGGCTGTCCCACCTCTGCCTTGGCGCTGGGGCTGGGAGGAGCAGGCAGGGGGCCCGGGGGCTGCTCGGGAGGCCACTGTCTGCTCCGGCAGCATGGCAAGGCTCTCGTGCCTCTGGTGGCTGTAGCTGTGTCGGTCCCCCATTGTCACAGGTCAGTGAGATCCCTCTGGCCTCCCTCCCCCAGCGCTGGTACGCCCCGTCTGTGGCCGATGGAGAAGCTAAACCCACTGTGTCCTCCGCATCCCCTCTCCTCCCTGCCCTCCAGTTCTGGGAATCCACCTCCCTCTCTTCCCTGGACACGTCAGGCATCGGCTCAGGCTCCAGCAGTGCCTCCTCCTCTTCTGTCTCCTCCACGCCGGTGACGGCCTCCCGCACACACAAGCGTTCGGTCTCCGGCATCTCCAGCTACTCCTCACTCTCGCTGCCCCTCTACAACCAGCAGGTCGACGACTGTTGCATCATCCGAGTCAGCCTGGCTGTGGACAATGGCAATATGTACAAGAGCATCCTGGTTAGTAACATCCCCAGGGAGGCACCAGAGAGGGGTGGCTCGTCCTGCCTGGATATGGGCACGGCACATTTTGGGAGGAGTGGGAGGCTTTAGCAGGGTTCTGAGCTCACAGCACTCTGTGCTCACAGGTGACGAGCCAGGACAAGACCCCCGTGGTTATTCGCAAGGCCATGGCCAAACACAACCTGGATGGGGACCGGCCTGAAGACTATGAGCTTGTCCAGATCATCTCGGAGGAGAGAGGTGTGTGTGTGCTGGGGCGTGGGGGCTATCCTGGGGCCATGCAGCCTGGGCAGCACTGGGCTGGCTGGGATGAGATGTGACAGCAAGAGGGGCCCCAGCACCTGGGGACAAACTTTCGCCCCACTCTGGTCCCCTTTCAAGGAAAGGGCAGCTGACTGACCCCTCATCCTTGTTCACTTCCAGAGCTGAAGATCCCCGACAATGCCAATGTCTTCTACGCCATGAACTCCGCCGCCAACTACGACTTTGTGCTCAAGAAGCGGGGCTTCTCCAAGGGGGTGAAGATCAAACATGGCTCCAGCTCCACCCTGCCCAGAATGAAGCAGAAAGGCCTGAAGATCGCCAAGGGCATCTTCTAGCCTCAGCCCCACTGCCACCCATCACCAACGGGGCCTTGGGGGTAGCTGCTCCGGGCTTGGCTGTGACTGGTCCTTGTGCCACCCTGCACGGCAGAGGAGTGACCCTCACCCATGGGCAACGGCCGTGCACCTCCCTTCTGCACCCAGAGCTGAGAGTTGGGCAACTGGTGTCAGCCTCTGCCCCTCTCTGCACAAGCCCCCATTCCAATCAGGTCTTTTTTTCCTACACAGGAAGGCAGTGGGGGTTGGGGGGAGGGATTTGTCTTTTTTTTTGTTTTGTTTTTTAACCTTCCACAGTGTGACTCTTGTCCAGCCCGGCCAGCCCAGAGCTGGAGCCCGCCTCTGCCGTAGGTGCCTTGTGTCTGAGGGAGCTGGGGGAGCGGTAACTTGCAGAGGGGCTGCGTGACAGAGCAGAGCAGCAGTCACCACCAGCCTGGGAGGGGCTGCCATGCTTCCTTCCCAGCTCTCCCAGTGTTACCTCCACGTCTGTCCTCCCTGGGATCACTGGCATTGCCACCACTGCACTGCTCTGCCTGTCCTTTACTTGGGAGAAGCCACAGCTGCCCTGGGCTGGGAGGTGAGCTGAAAGGATGCAGCCCTGCACCAGTGCTGAGCCCTGCAGAGGAGGCTGTGGCCGTACCATGATGGAGTGGGTGCCTCGTGCTCTCCCCAGCTGGAAGCCTGTGTGGTCTTGCTCGTCTCCTGATCCAGCGCATCCTCCAGCTGGACTGGGCTGGCCCACGTTCAAACTTGCACCAAAGATCAAATGCCAGTGTCTCTTCTGCTAAGGGGGAGCTTCAGGCCATGCCCCCAGTGCTGCCAGCCTGAGGAGGAGGAGAGCAAAGTTCTGTCTGAAACTGTAAATAGACTTTGGGTCTGTGGGCATGCAAGGGGCCAGAGAGCTCAGGGTGCTCCACGTGCCCCAGCTGCCACTGCCTGACCCACAGAAAGTGCCACTCACCTTGGGCTTTAACCGGACTTTTTCAAACACTGACCATGGGAGAAGCAGCAATGAGACTTTTTTTGTATAAAACAAAAAAGTTTACTGATTTTTTTTTTTTTTCAGTATTTATTGGTTGTAAATAGAAGAGGCAAACTTGTACATTTTACTAATCCAGCCTCCCCCTGCCCTGCAGCCCAGTCCCTGTCCTGTGCCCCCCCCGGTATTTAAGGCTGCTGGGAGGGATGCTGGCAGCAGCAGCAGCATTGCTCTGCTGCGCTCATAGGGTGCAGACCCTGCCAGCCCCCGCCCTCCCAAATTCTCTACCACTAATTGCTCAAGCAGGGGCAGAGATGCTTGTTTTAATCATTGTAGGAAACACTAACCAAAGGGGGACCTTTTGTTGCTCCTGGCTCCATCTCTGTTTTTTAAGAGCTTCATTCCAGATCTTTTCCATTTCCCATCCGTCAGAGCTCCTGGGTGGTTGCGGTGCCTTCCCCAGCCCGAGGACAAGGGACCATACTCCAGGGGCTGGGGCTGGTGGCAGGGGTTGGGCCTGGTGGGGAAGAAGCTGCTTGGGTGTGAGTGTGGCTGACACAGAGCTCCTCCAGCCCCACGGCTGACGCTGCCCATGATGCACATGATGGGAGCTCCTGGCTCCTTGACGCAGGGGCAGCCTCCTGCCTCTCCCCCTGCCCAAAGCCGCTTACCCTGGGCACCAGCACCCCTGGGAGGGTGTTCCCTCTGCTTCGTGCCTGCCTGCCCTGGGACTGTCCCCTCCCCTCCTGCCGGTGCCACAGCGGGGACTGGCTGTACCGTATGTATTTTGTACCACTTCAATGAAGGAGCACACTACCCGGTGTGACTTGTACACAGCAATGTAATTAGTCTTTGCAATAAAATACTGATACTCAAATGTCTCTGCCCCAAGGCAGGGCTTGTCCTGTCCTCCTTCCCCAAAATTCCAGCAAAATTTCCTGGAGGAAAGAGGGATGGACCTGACTGTGGGGGAGTTCATACTTTATGTTCCCTGTGGTGGGTTGAAATTTGCTTTGAAAAATAGACTGTTTGGCTGAGGGATTAGGATTCAATTTTGAAATGAATCTCATTCTTTGAACCTGTGAACCGAAAGTGTTGCTATAATTTGTTGGGTTTACTACTTTTGCTACATGTAACAGCTTTAAAAGCAACTGTAACAGACCATAGGGCCTCCTCAGTGGAGAAGAGGCGGTCTTACTCCTTTTAAAAAGGAAAGCTTGGCTGTCAGGCGTGCTTAGAACACGCTGGGGAATGCCCAAGATCCAGAAACTGCCAGTAGCTCTTTAATTTTTGGGACTTTGTTTTGGTGGGAACAATGCAGCTTGCAGTGGCCAACCTTTATGTACCTGAAGTTCTGCCAGCTGCCTTCAGTCCTTGTTAACTGCTAGCTGGGGAAGTCAACAGACCCGAGAAGTGCACCAGCTAATGAGGACAACAAACACTACATTTCCAGGAAGGGAACTACTCCCTGACAGAAAGTGTATTTTCCTGTGGGCTTTATTTCCAAGATGACCAGCAAGGCTCAGTGCTGAAGGCATGGCATAGTATTTTCATTCCCTCTGGACAAGTAGAAGAGCAGAACCTGCCTTAGGGACTCCAGGAGCACTGGACTGCTGCTTCTCCCAGCACATCCTCAGGCACCTATTTTCCACATGGCCGCCAACCTGGAGAGTGCACTCCTCCCACACATGGAGAGATTTGGGAATGCAGCTTCTCCCATATTCTGGTGTTTCCAGCTGGGCTTACTCTTGAGAGTTTCTTGAGCTTGCTGGAGAGTCTCAGCCAGCAATTCTGACAATGCAGGCAGTGGCTCCCAAACATCCAGAATGCTGCCCACCAGCAGTCAGTGAAGAAAGAACATCATCAGCTTAGTACAAGCTCTGCTTTCCCAGATCCTGAACCCTTGGCTCTCTCAAGGAGCAAGAGCAGAGACCTGTCCACAGCAGCCACACTGCTCACTGACTTCACATATAATCCAGCATTTCTGTCTCCATTTCATTTTCACTCCCATCAGAAGGCTTGAAGTCTTCTTCCTCCTCCTCTTCATCATCCTCATCCTCTCCAGACTCATATGCCAGCTGTTCTTTGCCATCTTCACTGCTTGTTGTATTTGAGAAAAGAGCTTTAATTGGGAAGAAAAAAAAAACCCACTGTGATGCATCTCTCAGTGCAACCTCGGAGCATTTGCAGTTGAGTTAACAGAACATGTGAGGGGAAGGCAGCAGCCTCAGGGGGCACAGCTAATATTGCACATCTTAATAGAATCTGACCAAGCCCAGAGCAATCTGTCTCCACACTTTAGGAAGGAGAGCAGAACAGCAGCAGAGCTGCAATGCTGTGCCTCCTCTCCTACCTCATTCTGACCCAGTTCACTGGGATATTATTGCTTTGGCCCAGCATCATGAAGAAATAATTTCCTCACTTCTTGGTCAATAATATCAATAAAAAGTAAAAATGCCACAAACAGATACATCAGTCAAAATTAAGATCTTGATTATCACTGTGCAAAAGACATTTAAAAGCTGAAGGGTTGATACTGGGAATATTAAATAGAAAACCTTAACTCCTAGCCATCCCTAATGCCAACTCACATTCCCACTGCAGGCCAGCAGCCTCAGCTCCCACACTGGAATGAGCTACATCCCAAAGAATACAAAGAGGATGCAGGAACACTTCTGCCTCAGTGCCAATTAGAACATCCTCATGTTCAAAGCATCCTTACCAGGTCTGGTAGATCTGATGATCTGCTTTATCATCAGGGACATGCTGTCCCTCAGGTCATCACTTGTCTTGGCAAGGCACCACCCATCCCGCTCTGTGCATTCCGACTCTGCACCGTCATTCCGATGGATGATCTTCTGCAGGCTAAAGAGTGGCAAAAAGGGAAGGAAATGTTCATCTTCAGCACTCAGAAGTGAGTTTCAAATGAGACACATTGGTTTATTTCCATTTCACTTCACTGAGCTGGAATAGCATGGTTGGTTATCCAGGTAATTGTCAGATGGGAAAGGAAGTTCATGTGTGAAAAGACTGTTCTGTTTTTATTAAGCAACTAAACACCTCTGATGTTCCTGCACAGGGGGAGAGGAGTGAATGGACATGGTATAAACAACAGGCTTTGAAATCTGTCTCTAAGACTCAGCTGTCAGAGTGCAGTACCTTTCCACATTTAAGTCACAGAGCTGGTAGAACATCTGTCGGTAAGGGGGTAAAGCTCCTTCTCGGAAAATGTAGATGGATTCCTAAGAGGAGGAAAGAAGGAAAGGATTTATGTGCATTTCATGGTGTAACATGACAACTCTGGCATAACTGAAAGTACTTCCAATGGGCTGATTCAAGAACAAGGTACTTCCAAGAGAAGTTTTAATGTAGAGATCTGTACGCAGCAGAAGATAAAGCTGAATGAGGAATGCCCCCAAAATGTCCCTGCAGCCACAGTCACACCAGCACTGCTGTGCAGAGAACACACTTCACCCCTCCAACCTGCAGCTCTGCAGCCTGTCACTGCCTACCAGTGCATCATTTTAACAAAAAAATGAAGACTAAGACTCATTTATTTATTCTGCCCTATTGGATTTTGCAGCATGACCTTTTAAAGACAAGGTGATTTTTTTGCACTTTGCTGCCCATGAAGTTCCAATTTTATCAACTGAAGCAAAATGCTCCTCACATCTACGATTAGGGTGGAAAGCACCAATCCCACCTTGCAGCATGTAACAAAATACACTCAGGTGATGTTCCATAGTGCCATATCTCCAACTAGGAGCTTCCCAGGCATACCTGAGCTCATCAACTCACAGCTCATCCCTTGATGAATGATAAACCAGGAAGCATCCCTATTTCACTGAGATATTTCAAGATTTTGGTACAAAAAGTCATGCTTACCTTCAGCTTATACCTGCTGGAGGGAGGCTTTTTTGCCCCAGATGTACCAGCTGAACCCAGCCCCTGTTTCAAGTCATGGACACTGACTGTGTGACTTCCTGAAAAGAAAACAAAGATACAATTAGGGACATCTTTCATACTGGACTGTCACTTCTCTCAGTTGATTCAACAAAACCAGACCAGCCAGCAACAGAGCATATGCTTTGCTCATTCTTCAGAGTTGTTACTGGACAGTCCCAGGAAAGGTGCTGACTTGGGCAGCTTTTAACAGAGTCCATTTGTTCATAATTTTAACCTTTTCTACTCTCCTTTGACATAGAAAAGAGAACTCCCCCATCCTCTGCACTTCAGTGAATTCTGAATTCCCAGTGTGGCTTGCAGAACTCCCTCCCTGCCTGCTAACAGATATTGTGGCTCAGCCAGACTCCCACAACACTTCCCAGCAGGAGATTTTTCTCTGGCTTAACAGCAGCAATATTACAACCAGAAAACAAGCTCCAGTTTTGTCTCAGCTAGAACACAGGAAGACCCTTCACCACCTGTGAGTAGGATGGGGCAAACAGAGAAGCAGAAGAGCCAGGCAGCCCTTCTGGCCCAGCATACCTTGTTTCTTGACAGTGATGGGCAGGCTGTAGTTGTATGTGCTGCGTTTTGCTTTCACAGGCATGTCAGTAGCAGCATAACCTAGAGGTGAAAACCAAAATCCAGTAATGAACCGAGGGCAAGCACTCTGCAGAATATCCCCAGCTCAGGAACACAAGGGCTGGACTGGTGTGGGAAGGGCAGGCTGGTGTTTGGGACATGCTGGCTTTAGCAGGGTGGAGAGAAGAGATCAACAAAACCCTTTAACCTGGAAATGTGATCTGATGTCAATGAGTAGATGCCAGCTCTGTCATGGACTTATTAGATGGCATCAGAAACCCCTTTTCCTCAACTTATCCTTTGAAAAATTAAAGCTGGGACCCAAGGTCTGAGACCCAGCATCCTGTAGGAAATGCTGACCTCCTTGAGGAAAAGCTGTTATGTGAGCACCCACATTCCTGCTTGGTGGCTCCCCTGAGTGAGAAGGAGGATGCTCTGCTACACCCACTTGGGCTTGGAACACAGGAGGAAAGTCAAGAGTTTAGAATGTGCCAAATGAGCGAAGACCTACTGCATACTATGAAAGAAAGCATTACACAAGTTTTAGACAGAACTACAGGAAGCAAGGAGCTCGAAAGGTGACATGTACATCAGAGCAGAAATATGGCAAAAGAGTTTGAAAAACACATAAAAAGAAAAATACTACCAGGATTAAGCAGAAAGCAGAGAGGGCAGCTCTATGGGCCCTTTTACCATATTTCATTCCACAGCGAATTCGGAAGTCCAGCACTTGATAAATCTTTGCTTCAGGGTGTTTTCTGGGGTCATACCCAAACCTAACCCATAAGCTTCTCCAAGGACCTGTTAACTGCACAAACACATGAAGGAAGATGGTTACAAAAAAGCACCACAGTGTTGCACTTTCCTTCAGTACAGAGGTCCTTGGAAAGTTCTAATGTTTTCCCTCATTGCCCAAAGATATTTGTTTTACCAGCTCTTTACTCACTTGCCATGCCAATATTTATACACTGAAACGTGGCAATCAAAGCATCAAAGCACAAATACTTGTGTGCTTTTATAAACCAATTTGCAAGGTCACAGCCAAATGTTTGTGTGGAAAAATTCTGTTAGCACTGCCAGGTGAACAGTCACTTGGAGTGCCTGCAGAGGTGATTAGAACCTATGGAGGAGACAAGAGCCACTGAATCCTCCTTGCTTTCAACTTTGGTCCTAAAGCATTTACTTCCCTCTTTACATTAAATAAAGCTCAGGTACTTTGTGGCAGGACCTCAGAAGTGGCAAAGGACCAGGAAGAGGCACATGATGCTCCCTTGCTCACAGATGTACCACTCACCATGTAATAGGCCAAATATGGCAGCAGCACCTTCAGCTTGTCTGGATGGACACTGATATTGGCTTTCACTGCATTCCGAGACCACACAGGCCGCACTTCAAAGAGCTGAAATAACAAAACATCCACAGAACAGCAGGCAGGGGTTACCAAAGGCAGAACAGCTTTCCCTCGCTATGAGCTATTGGGTGGTGATGTGAGAACTCGTGGCACAAAAAGGGGCTTAATGTGAGTTGGCCACAGATTCAAAGGTTGACCTGCAGAACTGAAATGAACACAGCAGTGTCAGTAGCATCTACTCACATTTCTATCAGTCACTTACAATCACCAAGAATTTCTGGGAAAAAATGGCCTTTTTCCTTCTCAGCTTGCTGCAGGACAGTGCTCAGATCAGGAGTAAGGCACACACCTTTCTCAGCTCTTCCTCCACCTTTTTATCCACAGGATTGGTGCACACTTTCTTCCAGTTCTGTACAGCAGCATCCAGTGGTTTAGTTGGGATTTCTTCATCATCAAAGTTGACAAAGATGGCATTGTGTGGGCGCCGGGCCCTGCTGAGGCCAATCAGGTTCTCACCAGACACCTGGGGATTGTTGTATCCCTCCCTAAGGAACAGGGAAAGACAAAAGGGACTCAGCTGGGTTAGCAATGAGTTGGTTTAACTTTGGCCCAACCTCCCTTGATCACATACTTGTAAAAGACTCTCATGGCAACACTGAAGAAAGAAAATTTTAAAATACCATTCAAAGCTACATGCACACTGACAAAGGAGCTCTGCCCTGTCTGGCAGAAAAGCCTCCAGCACTGATCTGTATGAAATGTGTTGGAACCCCAAAGGCTTCACCCTCTGCATTTGCTCTCCTGGAGCTGCTGCAGCGACTCAGTGGGACAGGGGCAAAGCAAGAGGGAACTGCAGGCACCCATTCAATCTGGAAATTTCTTTTCCTATAAAAAGTTCCAGTGAAGGCCAACAGTGAGAAAATGAAAGATGTTTCTTGTGGGAGATCTCCCAGATTGTTCTTCTGGCAAAGCCACTTGGGGCCAGGAGGGCACAGGAACACATGGTATCAATCCTAGGAAACCCTGCCTTTGGTTCCAGCCCCTTGGAAGCAGGCAGGAGCTGTGTCCTGTATCCCATACTGTGTGAGGTGAGCTGGGAGAGGCATCATCCTCACCTCATCCCCAGCTCCCCTCATTCTGCAAACCCTCAAGTGGAATTTTGCTGAAGTTGCCACTGCCAGGCAGCTTCTGGTGTTTTTTTGCCTCTGCTGTGCCAAATCAAGAGGGATAAAACAGCACAAGACAGCAAATTAAAAGGGTGAAATACATGAAAAATGTATCATGAGAAAAGGCACTGACCTGTGCTGTATATCTGGGCGATAAAAATAGTCCACAGGAGTGTCCAGACGTGAGAAAATGGGTGGTGGGATATAAAGAGGTAAGTCCCTATTGAAAAATTCTTCCTTCTCTGGTTTGAGCATCAGGACTTTGTCATACATGGAGGTTTGTTTGCCATCAGGGCCAGAGTGCATTGCCAGGTACTGGAAGTCAGACATTCCTGTAAGAAACAAAAGTTAAGTCATTGTGAAGTTTGTTGTGAATTCAACAATATTTCTCACACTCAATTTTCAGGAGCAGGAGTCTGACAACTTTATGCAAAGGTTTATCAAGCAAGGAGGCTGTAACAACAGGACACTTGATTTTCTTTCCAGTCCTCAACTGTTTAGAGGGAAACACTTCCCTGTCCCATGAAACACACCCATCTCTAAGCCACATGCACACAAATCCCAAGGGTTACCTTGAAATTTGTAAACTGTGTTGACAATCCCAAGAATCTCCATCTCAAACTGGACTTCTGGCTGGATTTGGTCCTCGGCATCCAACTGCTGCTTCTGCTTGGTGCTCCTCCTGACCCTGAGCAGCATGGTGGAGGTGGGGAAGCGGTTGGCACACACGGGGTGGCAATAGGGGTCCTTGGGGCGGAAATACAGCTCCAGCCTTTTGGCAGGGTCAGCATAGATCTGTCAGCAAGGGGAGCACAGTCCCTGTCAGCATCCCACCCACACAGCCCTGCACTCCTGTGCCAGCCCCTCACACAGCCTCGGGGGATCATTCCTGCCCCACCACCACCACCTGCAGTAGCACATCACAGGGGTGTCCAGCCACTCCCATCCTGCCTATCAGAAAAAAGTAAAAAAATTAATATTCTGGATATTAGGAAGGAATTCTTTCCTGTGAGGGTGAGGAGGCCCTGGCACAGGTTGCCAGAAGAAGCTGTGGCTGCTCCATCCCTGGAAGTGTCCAAGGACAGATTGGAACAAGCTGGTCTAGTGGAAGGAGTCCCTGCCCATAACAATAAGGTGGAGTTGAATGAACTTCATGGTTCCTTTCAACCCAAACCATTCTATGATTCCGTGATTTTACCGGACACCACCTGAATCCCTTCTCGGGGACAGTAGAGAAGCGACATCATCCCCAAACCACACATGAGCCCTGCGTGGGGATATGCTGGGCTGGAACGACTCCCACAGAGCCCGGCCCCCTCCCGCCGCTCATCCCTTTGCCCAGGGCCAGGGCCGGTCTCGCCGCCCCTCACCCGCGACACCCCCTGCTCTCCTCCCAGCGTCCGCAGCATGGCCCCGACGTCCCGGACGAGCCCCGGGTACTCCACGCACACCAAGCGCGGGGTGCGGGGCAGCTCCAGCACGGCCGAGCCCCGCGGGCCCCACTGCCGCGCCGCCGCCATCACTGCCCGCCGCTCCCCCTGCCCGGCGCCGCCCCTGGGCCGCGGCACGAAGGTTCCGCCGCACGACGGTTCCGAGGGCGGCAGCGGCGCGGCCGGGCCCGGCGGGACCTGTGGGGAGGGCGAGGCCTGAGAGCGGCCTAAGCTCGTCCTGTGCTGCTCGGACCTCCTCAGCTCAGCTCGTGACCATAAACTGATGCAGAATCACCTCCCCCGTGTGGTGCCGTGTCCATCTCCTGCCCGGACAATGAAGGAAAATAATCCTGAGCTGAGCAAATGCTCGCATGCACCCCGTACGTTTCTCATACTGTGCAAGGAATCTGCTGTAAACTCTCACTGAAGCAAGCTTTTGCTTCCTAAGAACTTCCGCATTCATCTCAGCAATGTTTAATCCCACAAAAGGTGGCAGATGAAGGATATGAAGGTGAGGGAGAGAATATAATTTGCTGCAAATACAGGGGAGCACACACTGCCCACAGGATGTTCCATCCTGCCTGACCTCAACATTAGCAAGAAAACTCTGTCACAGCAAACACACAGAGAAATAGAGTCACTCAGTTACAAGCAAGCCTTTAATGATCTCTAAAAGCTGTTTCTTTCTTAGCTTCAGAACATTAACTCTGACTGGGAGATGTTGGCAACCTGTGGCAGATTCAGATAGACTGAGTTCCAGAAGGTCACAAAGCGGGATCTCAGGTCCTGCTTCACAGAGTTCTTGTTCAACTTGTTGTTGATATCCAGGTAGTACCTGCCCTCGTTGGTGTAGGCTGGCCAGGAAACAGGCACATCCGAATGCCCTTTGTTGGGATCACTGGGGAAAAGGAGACACAGAAACTCAGTTGTGAGGTTTTTGGCAAGAACCCTGTCTGCTCAAGTGAGAATTTAAGTGAGAGGAAAGAGAGAATCTGACAGTGGGACAAGCAATATGAATTCTGCTTGCTAGGAGTGAGTTAATGACCTGCAGTCTCCTCCCACCATCCCCACTGGCATCATCCCAGCATCACATAGGGACTTCATTTCAGTATGAACATCAGGATTGAGGAATAAGAAATACAGACATGGAACACTATGATTTTGGGAGTGATCCTGACAACTTACTGGACAACACCAGCAGCCTGAAGGGCTGCATCAAGCCCCAAATGTGGAATGGGAATCACTCACCCAGTCCTGGCAAAATTGGTCCAGTAAGCAATCATGGCCTTTGAGACAGTCCTGTGCTTGGGCAGGTAGCCCAGCGGGGTGGCAAAGGGCTTCCCAAACACGTACTGCAGGTCATCAGCATGGTCTGCCCCAACCCAGCTGGGGTAGATGGGCATGCGGGACGGCTGGGAGAACAAGTAGCTGTAGGTCTTGCCACTCCTGGGAAATGAAAGAGACTGGCTGAGCAAGGAGAAAGCAGAAAAAGGGCTGCAGTTTCAAACCAACGCTCCAAATACTGTCAGGGTCAGAGATTCAGCCTTGGAAGATGCTCACATGCATCACCTCACACGGGGTGGTTTCAGGAGAAAACACCCTGAGGCCATTTCTAACTTCCATTTCCAGTTCTCACCCTAACCCTCCTCCATCTGCAACACCCAGGGCTGAGCTGCTCACTTGGCATTCTGCAGGTGCAGGTCCAGTGCCACCTGTGTGGGAATCAGGAAGATGTAGTCAGTGATCAGCTCCACCACTGTCTTCTTCATGACCTCCTGCTTGGGTTTGTCACCCCAGCTCTGTGTGTAGATGTTGTAGGTGGCGTTGGCTCCAGCCTCACCCCTGTCCACGGTGAGGCCTTTGATCAAATTGTACACCTGGTCCCTGAAATGACAAGTGATATTAATTAATTACTGACCAGCAGCTTCAGCAAGGGCAGGGCTCCTGCCCGGTCCTTTCTCTTGAAGGCTCTGGACTCGGCAACAAAAGGCCTGGGCAGCCAGGCTCAGAGTGACATCCTGTTTTGAAGGCTGTGCCTTGTCCACTCAAGTCTAACTCTTTGGGGCCTGGGAGCTGCACTGAAGAGCAGATGTCTCCTGTTGAGGGTTCTGAGAGCATCTGTCACTCACTCAGTGACTTTCCACAGCGGGCCGTTGATGGCGGGTAAATCCACGCCAGCAAAGAAGTGCCCGTCCATGTCATTGACCCCGGCCAGGTAGTCGATGTCAGCAGCGTTGGCAAAGAGCTTCTCTGGCGTGTCTGGGAGGAAATCCCCATCGACCACAGGAGCGAGGGCGAGGGTGTGCACCAGGGGCACTGCAGGACACAAGAATGGAGTCTGTTAGGAGGTGAGGAAACACAGATGTGTGGTCTGGCATATCCCATCACTCAAAGAGCTCAGGAAAGAACAGGCTGAGGTAAATGACAGCTTGAGTAGTGACTTCAGTATGGGCAGGAGGTCACTCAGATGCAGGGTAAACCTCATAGCTGTGGCTGCCAAAGAAGAGCCAGAAGAAGAGATCAGCCAGCCAAACACCACCTGGTAACATCCACAAATCCTCTCCTCCTACAAATGCCTTCCCAAATAGTTCAGCAAAGATAGGAAAGAGCTGAACTTCTCATCCCACCTGACCATGCTCTCTGATTGTCAGGACAGCCAGCGCCACAGTGTGCAGTATCACAGCAGTGTTTTGACCACTGCTTTGACCTCTCTTTTCTGACCAAGGTTAAACGCTGTGGTTTGTAATCAGGAGCGCCAGGAAAATCTACTTGGAAAAGGAATCTCCACGGGCACAAACGCAGCAGCGTTCCTACACTCCACCCAGCGACTCAAAGAGAAATAGCAAGGATGTGATTTCTTTTCGTTTGTTTACAAGCCATTTTCTGGCATTGCTCTTGCTGCTTTCACAGAACAGAAAGCCCAAACAGTTGCCCTGAGGCCAAGGCAGGGCCATTGGATAATCCCCCTGCCACTGCTGCCATTGCATGGTGGGCAGTGTTCATCTGGTGCAATGTGCATCAGCCCACAGAAAGGTGACTGCAAGAGC